AAAAAAACATGTTGAGACAGTAAAAAGTGTTTTGGGCCCCCCCTCTCGGGGGGTGTTGGGGGGGGGGGGGGGGGGGGGGGGGGGGGGGGGGCCCCCTCGGCCCTCCCCTGCGTACGCCACTGCTTACATCTATATATAGTTATGTATGTATAAATAATTTGTAATTACCTTTGACTTGCAAAACTTTTCTTTGGTGGTGTTCGATCACGATTTGTTGGTTTTGTTTCATTTGTTGTTGATCTAACAGATTGTTGTTGATTAGTATCTGTATGACCAGAACGCATATTAGCACTTGATTCTGATGCTGTTTCCCATTCTTCACCTTCTTTTTGTTCATTATCACTTGCTGATTGATGACGAAGATTTATATTATTATTATTATTATTAATATTATTTCCTTTTGTTATTTGTTGTTTATTTGGTTGACGATCAGTTGATGTTGTTGTTGTTGTTGTGGTTGCTGTTGCTGAACTAGTACGTTTTGTTGTTTTATTTACTGAATATTGTTGTTGATAATGTTCATTCGAATAATTATATCGATTATTATAACGTCTGTAAAAGAAAATTAAAATAAAGCAAAATAAATATTGATTTAATTAGATACATACTGTTGAGGCTGTTCATAATAATAACCACCGGATAAATCATGCATACGTGTATTACGACCACCTCGTGTTGTTCGACGACTAGTACCATAATAATTATGAGCATTCATTTGTACGGCATCATAATCTAAATATATATATATTGAATAAATAAATGGCTTATTTTTGTATTCCTATGATCTATTGTAGAACTTAAGATTGTATCCGTCATAGTGAAAATCGATTTTTTTTGTTATATGGTTCATTTGATTTCTAGGAATTGTTGTTTTTTTTTCTTAAAAAAATTTATTTCCGATTAGAAGTCTTTTAGTGCTTTAGTTTGAAAGAAAACTTAATGAAAGAATTGGTAGTTCACTTGAACGAAGAATGTTAAGAAAATATTTGCTCGGAGATTTATCGTTGACATAAAAATTAGTTTTAATAAGAATATAAATATTTATTTTTGACATTTATATATATATATATCTAGATATATAAAATTAGCATATAAGTAGGTAGCAATTGAGTTGGCTTGAATTTTTTATAGATTAACTTATAAATAATAACAAAAGAGAAAAATATTGATATGATCTTAAAACAATGTTTCATATGTAAATAAAGCATCAAGTAATATTTTACTAATATATTAGAAAGAATTAAAAATGTAAGATTAGAATTCGAATAGAATATAACGACAATATTTAGTATACTAATGAAAATCTTTTTTTAACTTTTCATTGATCAATACGAAATATTCTTTCTCTAATACGTGTTTTTTTTGTTAGCTGAAACATATTGTTGAATAGATACTATTTAATGAGATGATTTTGTATAAAAAAAATTTAATATGTAAAATTCGTTTTATTTATTTATGTTTACCTTGCATGGAATGTGCATAAGTATTTCTATGATGTGATACTTGTTGATTTTGATAACGTTGATCTTGATGATAATTTTGTTGATCTTTATTTGTTTTTCGTTGAAAATTATTTGTTGTTGTTGTTGATTTTTTATTTATTCCTGTTGATTCATTTTCTGTCTGTTCAACAAGATTTGATTCATTTTGATTTTTTTGTTCAGTTATTATATTTATTGATTCTTTTGGTTTTTCAATTTCAGTAGAAGTTATCGAAGGAGTTTCAATAGATTTCAATATTGGTATTTCTTCTATTGTTGATGATTTTTTATCTGTTGTCCATGCTGTTGGTTTTTTTACAATTTCATCAGTAATAATTTTTGTTGATTCTACAACAATTTTTGATTGTTGTTCAGGTGATTCATTTGTTTTTTTATTATTTATTGCTGTTGTTGTTGTTGTTGTACGATTTGTTAGAGTTTTTTTTATTTTTGAACCTGTACTTGTATTAAGTTGTGATGATGTACTTGATGTATTATTCATATTATAAGTATTATATTGTTGTTGATGACGAAGTGTACTACCACGTCTATAACGTCCATAAGAACCTAATGCAATATATCCTCGATGATGTATATTTGAATTATAACCCATTGTATGATGATGACGTTGATGAGTTTGCATATTAGGATCATAATAACCTGTATCATCATCATAATATTCATCATCATTACCCCAATTTGTATCATTTGTTTCATTATAAAAATCATTACGTTGAGAATAATGTGATGAACTATTATAATCTTGTCGTTGAGATTGAGATGATGTTTTATATTGTTTTGATGTTGTTGTTGATGTTGATGGTGGTACATCCGATCTTACACTCATTAATGGTGGAATTGATGATGTATTTATTTGTGTATAACGTTGTTTACGATCATTTGGTGCTGATTGACGACGATCATCAATATTTGTTTGTGATTTATAGGAAATAGATTCTTGTGGTGTTGGATCATTTAAATCTAGTGGTCGTGCTGGTGATAATGGACGCCATGCTGGTTGAGTTTTATTAGTCACTGTTTTATTTTCAGATTTTGATGATGTTGGAATATCTGATGAACGAGATGCTATTGAAATAGAAAATAAATATTGATTAAAAATTTTAAAATATTTGTTGTTTTTTTTTTTACCATTTGAACGTGTTTTTAATGATTGTTTATTTCGATTGAAATCATTTGTTTGTTCATTATAACGATTAGATTTTAGTGATAAATCATCGGAATAATTTTGTTGATGACCACTACGTCGATCATTTGTATAGGATTGTTGATAACGATTATTTGTTGTAAAATTTGTATCTTCCCAATCACCCCATTGATCATGAGATTTAATTTGTTGTTCATTATTATCAAAATAATCAATAACATCAGTTGTTTTAGTTTTTGGACGTGTATTATTTGATGGTAGTTTTGTTTGAATTATATTTGTTTTAGGTTGTTTACGATTTGTTATTAATAAATGTTTTGAACGATTTATTGTTGTACCATTATCAGTTTGAGATTGTGAACTTGATTCACTTTGTGATCGACTATATTTATGGGATGTAGATGAAACACTTGTAATTGCAACTGTTGTATCATCATGATGATCATCAGTATCTACTTGTCCACCGGATCTAAAAAAAAAAAAAAAGATAATTTTATTTAAATAATTAAATCAACTTGAAATAAGAAGCTGCAAGTATATGATTGTTTTTTGCACTTGGATCCATATTTGTATAATATGAATGAGTTAAGGATAAAGTTTTTAGCAATTTATTGGTTATTTTTAGAAAAAAATTCAATATACGATTATTTCTTGTATTACTGTTCGCCTCAAAAGTATTGTACCACTTTTTTGTTTTGGCTCGCATTTCAAACTATATGACTTAGGTTCAATTTTCTTTTTTTTTTCTTCAGATAGTACAGCTCGAGTACAATATGTATACACATGTTTGAAATTGAGGTTTCTTGAATATTAAGTACAGAAATAAATAAATGCGAAAACCTCGGATTTAAATCCGAGTGTTATGTGTACTTCAAAAAGTAAAAAGGTATATTCACTGTGTTTTTTATCACTAAATTGCAAGGAGAAAATACAGACGTGCTAAGTTAGCATGGACCATACTGTATGCGACCCTATCCGGTGACCACTGACTCTACTCTCACA